AGAATTTCGACGTTGATCACCGAAAAATTTCGGAAAATACACTTCCCAATCGTTTAATGTGACAAATCGTTCGACTATTAATTACAAAGTTCGTTATATAGAGCAAATTTCATTAATAAAAAATAGGACCAAAATCTTAGTCCGTTATAGAGAGCAGTTCGCTTCTCAGAGATTCGTTATAGGGAGCTTTGACTGTATTATATTTATTATAATTTATTTTTAAAAGAACATACCCTTTGACCAAATGAATCTTTTTTATCAATAAATTTTCCGATTAATTAATTAATTAATTGGATAACTAAATAATTCTATATTAATATTAATGACTCGGAGCCTTGCTTGAGAGTAGTAGTAGAAGCAGAAAAGTTAATATAAAATTATCTTTTACAAATAATTCGTTTTGTAATAGACAGTTTCATAATTTAACAATTCTTTTTTAATAAAATACTTTTGTGGTCGGAAGTTAAATTAATTATCTGTTTGGAAGTTTCACTAGGACCCCGTAAACTTCATAGATAAATTTAATTTATATACGGTGCAGATTATCTATAATCAATTAATAACAACTGTTCAGCTTCAAAATACTAAAACAAAAAATTTTTATATCATTTTAAAAAATTTAACGATAAGTTTTATTGTCCATGACTTAAGCTTCAAAACTTATCGGCTAGTTTTTTCTTAAACTAAAAACTGGCAAAAGCATTTTGAAAATTCCAAATTTTGTTATCTATTATATTCTTGAGAAATTGAGACCAAGTAAATTTCGTGTAACAAGGGTTTTTCATAGAATATTTTCTACAACATACATATATTGATTTATTTGTATTGTTTATGTATTAATAATAAAAAGTTACTTAACGAATATATATATTACATCAAAAGAAAATCATTATTATTATCAAATTTGGTCGTGCAATTTATTGTAACACAAAAACTATTATTGCATTTTTGGGCATTAACTATCAAATTTAAAAAATCCACGAAAAAAAAATTGAGACAAAATTTTTTTACATAAATTGGCTCCCTTTTTAAAGCTGAATTGAATGGTGGTGGTTTTTTAAAAATCCAAAATGTGGGTCACAATATTTCAAATTTTTAACTTGAGTATAGATGATCTGCATTGTATGAATTTGACCCAGTTACAAAAGTCACTTAGTCCCGCAACTTTTTATTGGTCATGTAGATCTTTCAAATTCTTCAAAAATGGAAATGTAACGCTAAAAAATGATTCGTGTTTTGAAGCCAAGACCTTTCTCTGAATTTACTATGTTCGGTCTAAATTAGCGCGTCGTACACAGAAAAGTTAATATCAAGAATAAACGAATTGAAACAAAATAAAAATTTGAAGTTTTTCCTTATATTGCAGATCCTTTATCACGTGAATTTATTTCTTTATATAAAAAAATACAACAAACAGCTAAATTTCATTTATTTCAATTTAATAAATAGACTCTTGCGTTGATCAAAGAAATGTACAAAAATACATTTCATAGAAATATATTTCGTTTCTATTACTATTATTATTACTATTTATTATTATGAAATGACTAGGAAATATCACATGACCAACCAATTTTTATTACAAAATTGGCATCGTGGCGCAGAAAGTCGTGTACCCACATTACGATTTACCAAAAAATTTTGTGTAACAAAAACTTTAACCAATACTTTATCTTTTAGAATGACGGGAAAATTTTTTTTAGTAATCTGAATAAAAAACCATTACATGGATAATTAAAATGCTTGCATGCATTATAAATTATATAATAATAAATAATGAAAATATTACCAAATATGTTTTTTGATTTTAAATTTTGTAATATGTACATCAACTTTAATTATTTCTTTTGTATTGAATCGGGATAGCTTTCGTAATTCTAATTCTAATTGTTGTCTATTTGCTATATCTATAATATCGTCATCAAAGCTGGCTTTCCTGACGAAGTTGTTTAAATAAATAATACCAAATTTATGTTGAAAGTTCTGTATTTATTGCCTTTGAGTATCATCCGACCCTTGATTTGTAGGAATATGAAACCACTAATGAAATTAGTTTCAAGAGAATTTGTCGTATTAAGTGGATCAGCGGAATTTTTTCCAAGTCTTCGTTATCGGATCCAACAGAAATTATTTGCTGGATAACTCAACAGTTGTAGTGTTTGCATCACATTCATTAGTTTAATTTCCAGTCAAATCCATATTAAAATAAGACAAAAATATAAATGTGAAGGATTGCAGTATTATTATTTATTCATAAACTTGCTCTAGGAAAGAAGTAATGATGTGAGCCGGCTAAGGAATTTTTAAACGGCTCGGCCGACCAGGCCGCCTAAAAAAAAACAATTTCTCTTAACATTCATGTTTACGTCTGTGATTTTAGTGCAGAATTCAGTAGCATAGAAACTTATTTGAGATGGATTTATCTGCGTTACTTATAATAACAAAAAAACTTACATTTGCTAAAAAACAAAAAACAAATACAATACTCGTAACAGGGTAATGGTAATATTAATAGAGTTTCTATTCGTAATACAAATTCTTGTTCAAATTATTCGTTTTATAATTATTCGAATTTTCGTTTTATTCAAATTATTCGTTTTATTCGAATCACTCGCTTTATTCGAATTATTCGTTTATGAATTATTATTATCATTAGTATTAGTCTTATTCGAATTATTCTAATTATTCTAATTTATCCTAATACTAATTATTATTCGAATTATTCGAATTTATTCTAATTATTAGCAATTCGAACACTCAAATTCATAATGAATAATTAGAATAAACCTTCAAACTATTAAATAGTAATAATGACAGGATATAACATAGTAATAATAGTAATGATAATAATAACGATAGTAGTAGTAATAATAATACCTGCAAGCTTAGTACCATCTGAAAAGTTTTTTCATGAACTGAGATTTATTTAAGTTCTTGGCCGGTTAGAAAGAAGAATTGTTGAAAATCAGGTGATATTAATATTGAAAATTTAAGGTTAACCTAATTAACCTGGGTGGGTATATTACCAAAATTTTTATTTTCTTTTTATGCGTGAAAACTCCATGTGGAAAAACAAATATAAATATAAATAAAACGAATTAATTTTTTTTTTTCGAGTAACATTAAAATTTTAGATTTTAGATACAATCTTAATAATTAATATTAATATTAATAATTAATATTAGATATGAATGAATTATGAAATATCGAAAGAATTACTACGTTGTTATCTGAGTATCCAAGTTCTTTTTTTTTTTGAGATCTTTATTAAAGAAAAATATTGTAATGCTGTCTGCGACAATGATTATTTTCAAGTTTAGAAATTTTAAACAAAATTTCTAAGATTTCTGTGTAATTAAATTTATTTATTATTATTATTATTTATTTGCTTTATTATTTATGTTTATCTTGTTTATTTACACAAACAATTAATATTAAATCAGCTTTGATGATGGATGATAATAATAAATATTTTATTAATACTAAATGAATCATACGTCTCTTTACTAACTGTACCCTTTTTTTCTTTCAAATTATATTAAATTTATATAGTTTCCCTATTATCTTCTTACTCTCCTCCTTTTTATTTTTTGCATACATATTATTGTTGTATGAATAATTGATTATATATAATATTTTTTTTTAAGTTACAAAATTTATTTTTTTTTGGTTTTTAAAAAAAAAATTAAATTTTTACACACATTCTTTTATTTTAATAAATAACCACAGTAATCCTAATAATTCCTCCTATCGTTAATCGATTCCAAAAGCCCTTTGATTTTTTTTTATAAAATCAAGGACAAAATCTTTCTTTAATTTTCTTTTTAATTCATTCATTTTCCTTTCAACTTTTGGGGAAATAAATAAATAGGTAAAAAGAAAATTGATATAAACATTGATTTTCTGATTAAATTTTTTTTTTAAAATTAAAAAACTCAAATCTAATTTTCTTTCCTATTAGATTTAAAATGCCTCTAAATAACAATAATCCTAATTCACCAACCATAACATCATCATCATCATCACCGTCATCATCGCCATCATCATCGCCATCATCATCGCCATCACCTCCTTTAAATCATTGTGATCAAGGTGCGAATTTTATTGCTAATAACAATCATATTCATTGTGAGATGATTGGTGATGGTAGTGTTAGTTATATTAACAATTTTAACAATAATGGTATTATTAATTTTAATAACATTAATGTTAATAATGATCTGGCATCTCATCATCAATTGAATCAACAAATACAATCACAGACAATTATTCCGAATGATTTTTTAAGTGCACGCCGTCGAAGTTCATCTACTAGTGATATTTATGCTTTGATAAAAGGAAATCAAAATCGACTATCATTAGGTAATAATAATAATAATAATAATAATAATGCTGATAATAATAACAGCAGTAATAGTAATGATGATAGTAATATTGCTGAGGATAATAAGATTATCGTTCCAGCTCAACATCATCAACAACCAATAGAATCAAATAATAATAATAATGACATTAATATAATAAGTCAAAACAATCAGTTCCAAGTCCAACATCAACAACAATCTAATAATTTTTATCACTACAATCATATTTCGCAAGCTCGTCAAACTCAATTGACCACCAGAAATTCTACGCCAAATCTTCATTCTACTATTGATCATAATAAAATGTTTAAGCAACTCAAAGCTGATAAAAAAAATCAAAGAAGCATGCCAAACATTCAATTATATTCTAAAGCTATTAATAATAATATTACTAAAACTATTGGTAATAATGTTGGTAGTAATAATCCTTCAATATTTGTAATGGATCATAGTGGCAATAATAGTAATTGTTTTACCTCTTTATCAACTCCTAATACACCAACACTTCACCCTTCAGAACAAATTAATAACGATATTAGTAATAATGGCAACAATAACTCTAGTAATTCTCTGTCACCATCATCAACGTTATCAAATCAAACACATCATAAAGGCCATTCACGTAAAAGATCTTTATCAGCTCCTACTGCACCTCTTCCATCATCAGAAATACAAGATAGTTTTGTTGTTCCATCATCATCATTATATCATCATCATCATCAACAACAACAACAACAACAACAACAACAACAACAATATTACAACTATCACAATCACGTTTATCAACAACAACAGCATTGTCCAAATTATTCATCATTTATTATTAGAAAACCAAATGTTTTAGTTCCAATTCAACGAAATCCAAAACATTCGTCACAATCATCACAACCACCAATGTCTTCCGAGGAATATCAACGTAAACTGAATGAAGAATTGGAAAAAGTTGACTTTAATGACATTACTGTCAGTGAACTTAAAGATTTGTTAAGACAACGTAATAAACCTGCTACTGGCAAAAAAGCTATTCTTATGGAAAGACTTCAAGAAGAAATCAAATTGGTTAAAGCCATGAAGAATAATAAGGGTGGAGCTGGTATTGATGGTAAAGATGCTAATAATAATATTGATGTTAACAATGTTGGTGATATTAATGTTATCAATAATGGTATCAGAAATAATGTTAATGTTACAAATAATCATACCAGTATTGGTAATAATGATAATAATGGATTTGATCGGCAACAGCAACAACCATATCAACCAATGACTACATCTCCAACAATTACTAATAATGGAATGCTCAATTATTATGATGTAATGACAAGTAATAATACTATGACAAGTGATTTTTCTTTATTATTACAACAACTAAATATTCATGATCCTAACAATGCAATTTCTCACCAAGGTCTTTTCTTTCAAAATCACCCAATGTCTGCTCCTGCTACTAAAACAGAATTCTTTGTTTCTTTAGGAGATAATAATGACATTACTGCTGACAATGATGATGATATTGTTATTAAGGATGAAGAAATGAGTAATGTAAATAATCCTGGTAGTGTTACTGCTGTAAATGATTATGATGTTTACCATCAACAACCTTCATCTGCTCCTCCAATGATGACAGAATTCAATAATAATTATGAGTTTATAAATCATCAAATACACAATAAATCTTCATTGTCAATTATGGATGATGGTAATGATGACAGCCAAATGATGATGTCTAATGATCCCACTTCATCTGCATCAACAACCTCACTATTAAATAATCAATTAGTAGCTAATGGAATGTTTGTTTCTTCTCCTCACCAACATCATTATAATGAGGAGGCTTATCAAATTATTTTTAATCAAAATCAACAACAACAAATACTACAACAAGATGATGAAGATATGATGTTTATTAAAACCGAAGGTATTTGTTTGTTTAAAAATATAATTATTTTTTTTTGGAAGAAATTTTATTTGTTTGTTTTAATTTATTCTTATTAATTTAGAAGAGAATCTTTTACTATTTCCCAGACTTTAACTCAACAACCAATGCAGATTAGAGACATTTGTCATTTTTGTATCAATTGGCATGGTTGGGAGATATAGTTGAAGTTGGTAACTGAATTGAATATTGATCAGTTGATCAAATTTGTGAAGAGAAACAATCAAATTAGAAGAAAATAAACAAAAAAATAGAAGAAAATAAACAAAAAAATTAGAAAATTAGAAAATTTTAAAGATTTTAATTATTAATTATTGGCAATTTTAATTTACATTAATATATTAATATAATTTTATTTTAATTAGTTTAATTAATTACCCAAAGCATTTTAACTTGTTAATTCAAATAATTTTTTTTTTAGGGAAAAGAAAAATTATACATTCTTTAATCCTTTTTTTTTTTAATACTATTGCTATCTTAATTTATACAACCATTTTATCTCTTCATTCTCCCTTCCTATTTCCTGATTTAAATAATCAATAACACAAATAATTGTTGTTATTAAATATTTTTTTTCTATAGTATATTTGCATTTTTTGCAATATATACATATACATATACATATACATATACAAGCAAATTCATAATCATTATTTTATTTTTGCTTTTTTAAAAGATAGAATTAAACATAAATTTTTTATAAATTAAGATTTTTAAAAGATGATTACTTGATTTTTTTTATTTAAAAAGAAAGTAATTAAATTATATTACTAAATTTTTTTCTAATATGTTAATTATTATTATTATTATTATTATTATAATAATAATAATATATTTATAAAATATAAAGTTAAATAAAAAGAGAGTTGTGAGTTTATATTTGGAAAAAATGGAGGTTTTTACTATTGAATTTATACACATCATCATTAAAGCTCCAAATGAATCAATGAAATTTGAACTGATTCAAATCAAATCACCTAATTTTTGATTCAAATCAGTTTGAATCAAATTCAAATTGTACCCTGGTTTGATTTGATTTGATTTGATTTGAACTGATTCAAATATTAAATATATAATTTGATTCAAGTTGATTCAATTCAATTTGAACTGATTCAAATATACAATTTGATCCGAGCTGATTCAACTCAACTTGATTCGAACTAGTGATGGTGGCCAAAACTACACTTAATGGACTGAAATTGCCAAAGTTAATTGGCCTAAACTTTGATGAAACTAATTTTAATGGCTGAAATTTTAAAATATATTGGACAAAACTATGTTTTTTTCAAAAACAGTTTCACTAAATAATATCCTTTATCAATTAATATTGGTTTAGCAGATAGTTTGGGTTTAAAAATTTTTTTCCAAAAATCTGGTATTATTATATTCAAACCTTGTCACAGCAGACTATAATAATAATTAAATCTTATCATAATGGACTTTTAAAATTTTTGCTTCACATATAAAAACATATAAAATTTTTCTTATTATTATGTGTCCCATCTATCCATCATGACTATATCAAGAAATCTGTTATATTGAGAAGAATTTTATTATGTATTTAATATGACATTAAGAAAAATTTAGGAATCTGGTTTGATTCAAATTGATTCAGATCAAGTCATGAATCAAATCAAATCACTCTAAAATTCAATTCAATTTGTTCAGAGCCTTAATCATCATATTAATGATAGAAATGTATTGCAAGCATGTAATTCTCATTTACAAACTTGAGAGGTGTTTGATAATAATTATACAAAACTACATGATTCCAGGCTCACCACCTTGTATAGCCCTTGTTGCACAATTCCCCACTTTAGCACAATTTCAGGATCCCAGCCTTATATTTCCACTAATATATAAATTATTATACAATCCAGGCTCATATAATAATACCAAATTAAAATAGAATAAAAATATATACAACTATTCTAGCAAAGACATCCAAATGGTAGGATAGTAATTAATTAAGTGTGATTTTGCTTTTCTTAATGAACAAAGGTCAATTTTTTTAGTGTAAAAATTCTATGTTTATTGTTAGTGATAATATTTGTTACATTATATTAAGGACATGGTAATTCTAATTTAGTCTAAAACCAAGTGTATTTATACCTCTTAGGGTATGAAAATAACATGAATTTTACAATATTTTGTCCAATAAAATATGCTCAGCTGTGGCAGCAGCCTATCTATATAGTTCACAAGGTCCTAGTAGGACCAGGAAAACTCTATTGAATGTGACCACCAACACTATGATTTGAAAGTACTTTTAAAAAAAAAATGTGACCACCTCACCATAGATTCACATTGATAGAAAATGGAAAAGGTCACTGCTTTTATTCAAAAAAAAAAAAAGTTATCAGTTACACTGATTTGCAGACATAGAAAAATAAAAAATGTCATTGGTTTACACTTGATTTGCATTATTAAAAAATGTTTATTATTATCAGTTACACTATAATAAATAATAAATGTGGTCAAATTATTTCACTTGGAGCCAATTATCAAGTGTTTGGGCAAAGTTATTATGTTTTATGAAAAATATGGGCAAGGACATTCATGGGTAGAAAAGCCAGCAGGATTTTTAGATCATTTATCATATATTTCTATTAAGGTCTATCTTCCTGTATCACAATGGCATTTTTCATGTGAAAGTTTGGCAGGAGACATTACAATTCATATTACACCATGAGAAGTGGTTTATTTTTTGGGAATATGTTCTTATTCTAATATTAATCCTTGTTTGATTGCAGTAGATGATGAAACATTTTTAATTTATAATCATTTTAGTCAATCAAGTACACAAAACTTTCTTTTAATATTATTAATCAATAAAGATAATTCATATGTCAATGTTCAAGACCCTTGAAAGATCTACATTACACACAGATATTAGATAGAATTGTGTGCAGATCATGTGAGAAAATATTTGCAACACAAATATATGAAGAATACCTAGAAAAGACAAGAGGCTTAGTTAATGATTAGAATTACTAATCAAAAAATAAATATAAAAGAAAGGAAAAAGAATTCACCTCATCAAAAAACAAAAAATAAAAAATAATAATAAAAATAAAAAAATAATAATAAAAGTAATAATAATAAAAATGTCAAAATGACAAGAAAAATTATCAGAGGAAAATCAAATGGATATTTATCTAATAAAGAAAAGACAAGGAGAATAAATAATCTTAAAAAATTAGAAAATGAAGAAACAAAGAAATTAAAACAGAAGATAAAGGACTTGAAAACCTTTAAGAAAGAATACCAGGAAAGGAAGTCTTTGGAGAAGAGATACCTGAAGATGATTTTGAATATCATTTTAATGTAGAATTAAAGCTAAAAATATATAAAGAACTATGGTTAAGAAACTAATAGAATAATTTAGAATAATATTAATAATCAAAAGTTCTATAACTTTCCATATTACGAACATTTTTTATAATTTATTTTTTATATAAATATCATGTATTTTGGAATCAGTTCAACTTAACGTTTTACTTTAAGTGAACTTGAAACC